TATACCTATACTGTACTCAGAAAGGGAGATTGATTTAATTATTTATTTAGATTTAGGTGATTCTGGGTAGCTTTCCGTAAAATAGAACAAAAGCTAGGATGTAAAAGAATGTGCAAATTAGAACCAAAAGCTTCAATTGCCTTTCTATCACATGGTTTCCACAGTAGTATTTAAAGTCAGGGTGCACGGGAAGGAACCACACTAAGTTTATTTTGTAAAAATGGAAACAAGAAGCCATCCATTAGAAGGTCGAAGACATTTAAACCTGGTGATAGGACAAAGAGGAGGCAGGCCCCTTTCTATACCTCAGTATGAACAAATGTCATCAATCCATGCCAAATTCTGGTTTGTTACACAGTCAGGCAGATGTTTAGATTGGATTTGACATTTTTATCTACCTATCAAGTGGTTCCCAAGGACCTGGGATAAGCAGCTGTTGTTTGATAGTGTTTCAAGCAGGGGTGGGTTCCGGCAGCCACTACTGCTGGTTTGCTCATGGTTGCACAGTGCGCCCATGCATGCGCAACACTAAAAAACTGCTTCTGCATATGCGCAGAAGCAAAAAACAAGATGGTGCCTATGGCGCTGCCAGGAGAACCGGTTCGTGGGCGTGGCAGGCCTGGGTCGCTGCCAGTTCCAGTGACCCAGGCCGCCAAGTTACTACCGGTTAGGCCGGACCAATAGGAACCCACCTTTGGTTCCAAGTGAAGGTATTGTTTGTTCCAAGTAAAGGTGCCTTCTGCAATTGACTGATGGTGATTTTGTCAATGCCAATGAATGTTCAAATGGTGCTCCAGATCTAGGGCACCTATTACTAATTGGTACTCTGCTTTCTTTTACCACCATCATTTTATTTTATTTGTAGGTTTTTTTATTTTGTGATTTTCTCCAGTTCTTTTTCTTGTATTCTGCTGCTCCAGGTACTGCTGCGTCCATTATCCAGACTTTTGTGTCTTTTTTACTGGCAATTGTTAAGTCTGAGATGTTATGTGGCACGTGCCTGTCTGCTTGAATTTTTATTATTGTTACAGTTGATAGAACAGTCAGTCAGTTGTTCAGACTGACATGGCATCTTTATCCACCTACATTTTATTATTATTACAGTTGATAGAACAGTCAGCCAGATGTTTAGATTGGGTTTGGCATTTTTCCCCACCTATCAAATCTTTCCCGAGGATCTCAGATAGGCAGATGTTGTTTAATAACATTGAAAGTACCATTGCAGGAGGTAAGCTATTCCTGTGATTGCTTCAACTTACATAGTTGCCCATCTCATCACGGCAATTCTGAGTGACTAACATTTAAAAACATAATGCAAATAACACAGAATTGCAATGCATTTAATGATAGCCTAGGTAAAAGCCAATCTACCATAAATCAAACAACTTCACAGGTTCCAACTAACGATCTGATCACCAGGCCAGGAACACACCCATGTCTTCCAGGTTTCCAAAAAGCTGGCAAAGTCAGGAGCAAGCTAATTTTATTCCCTGAAAGAAATTTGCCAATTACATTTCTCCAGTGTTAAAGCATGCTCCTTCCCCCAGATTATTGTTTGGCTTTCCAAAAAATAAAAGTGCTTATCTTTTTACATTTATTTATCTTATATTTTTAAATAATATGTGGTTTTAAAATGCTTTCAATCTGATCCCCCCAAAATGTGTTTTGATATTCAGCTTACTTTAATAGCATGTCATATCATGCAATTCTTTAGTAAGCAGCCTAAGGGAATTGGGAATTAGTCCAGGACTTCCCACTTAAACAAAACCAGAAATAAAATATTATATAGCTCTCATTATCAGACGTTACCTATCAGTCTTTTTCAGACACACTATTTTTCTGGTCTCCTAATAAGCACTCTTCTATGCTGCCTCTTTCCGGCAGGTAGATATTTCCACGCATAGGACAGAAAAATCATTTTTTTAAAAAAGAAAATATCTCATTATTTGCCTTGTTGCTTTTTAAAGTGGGAAAAAAACCCAATAGCTTTTCAGTATCATTTCAGTTTTCATTTATCATTTTGGACAGTGTAACCTACCTAACTCTGCAAGGATCCTGAGGGCTGGAAGGCAGCTGTCTGATGCTCACAGGTGCTATGAACCCTGTGATACCACTAGATGGTGCCCACTGACTCCAGAATGATACATTGCATTGTATTATATTTAATTTGTACTTATTTAATTTTAAAATGCCCAATTTTATAAGAAAAAAAAACTAGCTCATATTCCTGCATAAATCTTGTGCCATTTAGTATTTATGTTTTGGAGGCTTTAGCATGCAGAAGATCATACAGCAATGCCTATCCTGACTCCTAATATATACCCAGCCAGAATACTCTTCTAGTCCTGAAGGTAACATTTAACTTTTAACAAAATGTTTTTTTCCCTCCTAGTGATGGAACTTTGACTTTGGTTATAGAGTCTAGAGTACTGTTATACAATCTAGAGCAGGGGTTCCCATCTTTTGGCTTGCTTGAGCCACATTATGTGAAGAAGAATTGTCTCGAGCCGCATATAAATATATATAATATAATCAAGGCATATAAATCACATAATATTTAAAGTCTATGGTCTATTTGGGACCACATTACTAGCTATCCAGGCTGCATACAGCCCATGGGCCACAGGTTGGACACACCTGAACTCAAGTTACTTAGGAATTCATCTCAAAATGTAACAGCTATCTTCTTTTCTTCATTTCTTCATTCTTGTAAGTTTTCCATTAATGCTTGTCATATATGAATAACTACTAGGATTTACATTTTAAAAGAAGAGGAAGTATTGCTTCCATTTTTGAGAATGCTTTGGGACAATTACCCTTTTTTTACATGAAGTACAAATTCCCCAAGTTGGTTAAAAATATCTTTTAAATTGCAATCTTCTGACTGTAATATATGCCATAAGAATTCTGTCATGCCAAACTTTTTCATCAGCTTTTCCCTCCTTAATCCATAGAGATGCCAAGGGTCAGACATGACAGAATGACTGATGACAATGAGGCTAATGATAAGAATGCAGTCTAACTAATGATAAGAATGAAAAAATAAGATGAAGGTACCACCTGCCAAAATATTGTGCAATACCTATTTACTAGCTCAAACTCTGGGATAAATGTTGGAAGAATTGATTATAAGTCGCTGGGCAGGCAAGTACATATAGGATATAGAAAAAAAAGATTGAAGCCAGTTGCTAGTTCTAAAATAAGGCAAGGCAAGTTGATTCAAAACTTTTTTTTTTCTTACAAGGTTCTGGAAAAAAATCCTAACAGACCAATGAGCCATAAAGAGATTCTTCAGGTTATCCAAAAAGAAGGGTTAAAAGAGATTAGGTAAGTATGAATTATTATACTGTTTGATACCCCTAATAACATAAACATAAATATTTTCCAACTGTAGATTTTGTAAGTATTGCAGTATAAATAGTTGACCAAGGCAGCATATGCATTTGTCTGATGTTCATGTTGTGTTGCCAAACAGTCTTTCAGATATTTTGTTTCTAGACTGAAGTTCTTTTTTTTTTTTTTTGTATTTATGAAAACACTGAATAATGCTACTTGGTAACGGACAAAAAGGAGTTTTGTTCATGAACTAGAGGGCAACTTCCTGGTTGAAATAGTATCTTGATGTCACATGCCTTAAAATTTTTACTTTTCAGAGCTGCTTGGGGGTTGAGACTTAGTTGTCAATCAGTAAATCATTAGTTATTTCACTAAGTTAAGCTTTTCTGGGAATCACTATTATGCTATCTATTGTATGCTTGTTCCAATTTCCTCTGAGAACTCAAGGCAACCTTTAGAAAGATCTCCCTTAATTTTATCCTAACAACAATTTTGTGAGGTTTGTTAGGCTGAGAGAGGATAACAGTCTTAAATCAACTCCATAGTTTGGATGAACTTGGTGTTGTCCATTTTAATCTGGCACTTTAAATACCATATTCAAATATCTGACATTTATCTAGATTGCTGTTGACTACTTTGATTCTAGAAAATGTATAATGATTTAGACCAGGGGTATCAAACTCAAGGCCCATGGACTGGATACCGCCCACAATGTGGTTGGAACTGGTCCGCGGGGCCGTCCTGGTCTACCCAGTGTGAAGGGGAAACATGCCAGCAGTTTGGGGAATGGCATCAAGATGGCTACGCCCACTCAATTGGCCACCCCCACCTACTCAACCACGCCCAGCTGGCCCCCTGGGGTCAACCACCCCTGGGTCAACCACAGCCCTGATGCGGCACTCAATGAAATGGAGTTTGACACCCCTGATTTAGACAGTTGAGGTGTTTTCTAATTTTACTTTTACAGAATTTTCTTTCCAAGTTGAATGACAGGGATTGGATGAGGCCTTTCATGAACAAAGATGCAAAATCATCTTATCAGTAAGAGAGAAATAATGATCTTCCCTGCAGTTCAGTTTAAATAATTATTAGAAAAAGCATCTGAAATTCTTTGAATGTTTTAATATGTTTTATAAAAATGTTAAATGCTTGTTGTTAACTATCTGCTTAATGGGAAATATTTCATAGTGGGAAGAAGTACGCAATTAAAAATGTGTTGGACTTTGTATGCCTGCTATGAAGTTGCCATGTGCATGCACTGTTTTTACTGGAAAGTAAACATGGATTACATGCTTTGTAATCAAAATGGCTTTTATAGTATTAAAAAAAAGTTGCATAGAAAATTTAAATGTACTCCATTCAGATCAGATAATTTATATATGCATTTGTTTTGTTTTTAAATAAGCTTTGTAGTTTGCACTTTCCTCAGTTTTACTAAATAGGGTACATTTTTGGGACTTGGATACAATAAAGAAATTCATAGCAATGTACAGATCATGTTTGTAAAACTAACTTTTACTTATGACTTTTTCTTCTATTAATTACTACAAGTATTATTTTTGAGGGTGAAGAAATTATCAATATGGTAAATATATCTTGCTTAGAAAATAAAGATTAAGATGAGCTAAAAATTAGAGGAGGTAAAACCACTCATTGAAAATGATTAATGCTACATTTTTTGAGTGTTTAGCTTGGTTAGTTTGCCTGTGAATGAAGGATTTACTGCTAAGGATTTCTAAAATGTGGCTTGTTCTATTTAAAAATCATACGGTAATGATTTCATTTAGTTAATGATTTGTAGATTGAAGATACATTTTTAATTTGGGATGGGATAAGGAAGGGATCACAGGATGTGGGATAGATATAATACTATCTCCAGAGGGGACAAGACTTAAGATTTTCAGGCCAATGTTAAAAGCAAAAAATACTTCAAAATTTGTGGCAAGCTCTTGTGACTATGCATGACCCTAGGAATTTCCAGCACAAGAGGACTTTATATGGTTTATCACTTAAAATATTGTTTCCTTTACCCACAAGAGTTTGAGAGGGCCTTTTTTCTTCTTCTTTGCATTCCCTCTTTTCTGATTTTCTGCCACTGACTGGAGATGTTGCATTTTCCAGAGATTTGCTCTTTAAAATAGCCTAATTTTGATGATTATTCTTGCTTTACTGGGTCAAGAGATGGAATTTAGGTTAAAAATGTATTCTTTATTTTGGTTAATTATTAATTGAACTAGGCCAACTCAGATGTTTCTATTTGAAATGGCAAAATAATAAAGAAATATAGAACTTTTTAAGAAATTAGAAAAAGTAGTAAGAGCATCATATTACAAGCACCTTTCAGAATTTAATTGAATGAATCTGTTAGTACTTTAAAATATAAACTATTCCCTTTGTACAATACTTCAGTTAAAAATAAGGTAGTCAGATATGTTTTCCTTAAAGGCATGTTTTCCTTTTAAAGGAGATTTATTGAAACATTCTTATATGAACATTGTAGCTTAAGTTTCAGAATTGAAGTTGTCAGAAAAATAGTGCAAGGAGGTATACAGTGTTATATTTCTCCAGAATTAGCTTGATAGGTGACTTCCTGGCTCTGGGATCAGATGCTAGAATGAATGAATTTGTGTTCAGTAGTCTCTTCCAAATATCAGATGCTTGCTTGTGATAACTTTTCTGCTTTATAAGTCTCTTGGTCATAGATCTTTCAAACAATTTGTTTCTAACAAACATGATTTCTGTGTAACGATATGGGCCTTTTTCCCCCTAGCCACAGTAATAAAAAAATAGAAATAAAACAATTTCCACCAGAAATTAAGTTCAACAAAGGGTCATGGAGTATTTTAAGCACATATATTTTTATTAAGTCATGCAACCAACCCACAAGAGATGTTCTTAATTACATTGGGAGGAATATGTTTGTAAAATGAATGTGGAACATGTAATTCTCAGGTGACATCTGTAATAATGGAGCATTTTAGCAATATTATTTGCTCCTACTTAGAGGTGGCATTGATTCTACAGCCTTTATGTCACTATTTTTTTTTAACCTTCAGTGTAATTTGGACTTGAACGCCAAAGTAGTATCTTTTATTTATACTACCAAGACTCCCCCTTGAGACTTGCAAAGACTGCTTGATGAATTTGTCCCATTTGTTCTCTATAATCTAAGGAAAATGTCTAGTATGAGTTGTGTGGGTGGTCATTGGAAATATATGAAAATATTGTTTTACTGACATACTTAAATGTTTATCTTGTTTTTCCTCCCCTTTACCCATTCTCATTGTCTTTTTCACTTTGTTTTTTGGGTTTCTTGGATTTCCATCTTTTCCAGAAGGTAAGATCCACAATTAATGAATACATTCCTTTGCACATAAGTAATGCTACATTTATTTAGCTTGCTTTGCATAGAAGCTTTGCAATAATTTCATTGCTGTTTAGGTTGAAGAATCATTTCTCTGTGTACCTAAAGCTTGTTTGTGGGAGGCCATGGCTAGCCAGATGAGGTGGGAAGGGCTGACATTTTGCCAGGCGAGTCTTTGTTCTCTTTGACCTTGAATGAAAGAAGCTTAGCATTGGGTTCTTCTACTTGGATGATTTCATCTCTGATTGACTTGGCAGGGTTTTCTGAACCATCTTGTTGTTCACTCTAGGAGCTTCTGAATGTTGAATTAAAATAAAGCAGAACTGGGGATCCTTTTTTGGCCCAAAGGCGGCAATCATTTAAACCCCTCCAGGGTCATGCCAGGGAGCCATATGGAGTAAGACCGTTCTCTTCCTTCTTATGCTTCCTTCCTCCCATAGCTTTTCACGCAAACGGTTCCCTCCAGAGCTCTGTTTTCCCCACACACAGCCTCTTTTTATAGCAATTTAAACTTTTTAGATGCCTGAACTGTGGTAGGAAAGGAAGGAATTATTTTTCCTTCCAGAGCATGAGGCATGGAGGTTTAATCTGGCCTCCATTTTATCCTTTTGCAGCAGGTAACACATTTGAAATATTCTTCATTGGCATCACTAAAAGCTTTTAAAACACTAATTGCTATATAGAGCAAAGGTCCCCAAATTTGGCAACTTTAAGACTTGTGGACTTCAACTCCCAGAATTCTCTCTTAAGCAAAGCTTGCCAAGTTTGAAGACCTCTGATATAGAGGGAGAGGCCAGATGAGAGGACAAGGGAAGTCCAGTGATATACCTCTGGCTAGTGGTTTCCTATTCAGACTACTGGCATATCTACATTGTGACTTTTAGCTACAACACACTTCTAGAAATATAAGATGCATCCCTGAGAAAGGTTGTGATTTCCACACAATGAGTTAATGAACTTACTTACGCTGCAACCATTATAAAAACCATTATTGGTTTTGCAACTTCTCCCTCACTTGTGAAGAGAAGTCACACTGAAACCACTATCAGAAGCAGATGCATTTCCTGAGTCCATTTAAATAAGCTGTGTGCATTTATTTACTGGTAATTCACTCTTTGCACAATCTTTCTCTATTCTAGCTTTAAAGTAGGAATGAGCCTGCCTACGGCGTTTTGGGACCTGGGGCCCCTTTTTAACTAGAATCCCAGAAAATTAGTGGTGTGATTTTGTACTGTTTGAGTCAAGAAGTACATGAAAAATATTGTTTGAATCTTCAAATGCTTTAAAACGAGAGTGGGAATGAAACACAGCTCAACACAGCCCAAAATCCAAGGGAAAAATCAGTGCTATATCCGTATTATGTACCATCACCTTCTCTTCAGCTTCTCTTCTTTCTAGATATGAAACATGGTCTTATTTGACTAAATGTTGCCCACTTCTGTTATAGAAACAAAGGTTTCTGTTTGTGACAGACATAAGCAAAGGAAATGAACTGATCTCTCATGGGTATTACAGGGCAAAGTAAATTAAGTTAATTGTTTTATGGGAGTGAATGTTAGCCACTGTTTTTCTTATGACTTTGGTTTCAGACTACTCTTGTGCTTAATTTAAACCACACTTTTTGATATATTGTGGTTACAGTTTGTACATCTAGATTTCATGTTTGGCAAGCTTAAATGCATTGTTAAAGTGATTGCTTTATGAGTGTATTAGTTGCTTTTTACTGGGTGTTGAACAAACATTGGAAGCAACTTTGAAGAGTAAAAAAACTGAACATATTAGCCCATTTTATTCTGTAATGCTGCTTCTTAACTTTATTATGGATGCACAACACACACCGGCATTTGCAGTTGAATTAAAAACAACTCATTTTTGGAAATATTGTGAAATTGATGCATTTTATTCTCAATCCATCATATTTTAATGTTTTTTTAACCCCAATATGTCTGAAGCAATGAAAACTCTTTAGTCATTCCCAGAAATGTTGAAACTTTTTTTTTCTTAACATTTTGGTTGTCGGGACTACAAAGTTCTAATATCTCTGCTGCTTTTTTTAACATATTGCTTGGCACTTATGTTTGTGACAGACTATGCATGAAATGACTGAAGAAATTTCTTTCCCTTCTGGGAATTCTCTGAATAGCAAGAGCAGTTTTCTCTTTTATAATTAAAGTGTGTATGAACATTTTGTGCTATAATTTACAGTATATACTTGCTTATAGAGAATTTACCTGTTAAATTATATTGTCCACTGTCTCTAAAATTTCCATTAAATCCCATGGACTGTAGCATCTGTGCCAACCCTTAATTTTTAAAAAAATGATAATTTGCAAATACTGAAGAATTGTTTTAGAAGTTAGTCGGACTTGAGCTGCATTCAAAATAAATAAAGTTGGGTAAGACGTTTCTTGGATCATTTCTTTTACCCTCCTGTTATGCATAGTTCCAGCAGATACAAAGTGTGATGGTTGTGCTTTGTGTCACTGGTGTCTAATTCTGTATTTCTATTTCCAGTGGAACTTCTCCGCTTGCATGCCTGAATGCTATGCTGCACACCAACTCCCGTGGAGATGAAGGAATATTCTATAAGGTTCCTGGAAGAATGGGGGTCTATACACTGAAAGTAAGTGAGTGCATCATCTCTTAACGTTCAATTATATTTCAAACCACAAACTGCCAGTTTTAAAAAAATTATGATGCAGATGTTTTAAACAAATCTTCCCAATTGGGCATAAGATGTTGAAATGGTGAGTAGTGACAATATGTGGTGTATGGGTTTGCATTGTCCCTCATGACTGTATAGATCACAAACCAATTGTTACCTATTAATCAAAAGTCTTAATTAACTTAACAGGAAGTTCACTGAATCAAATGCATACAATCCATAGTTAGGCATTTGAGAAGCTGTTAGAAATAAAAGAAACCTTCTATTGAGTTACACCATTGATTAATTTAATTCAATATTATTAATACTGGCAATAGCTCTCCAAGCTTTCAGACATGGGTCTATATTCTTGACTGAATCTAGAACTTCCACATGCTCTGTCATTAAGCTAGGGTTTTTCTATTCTGAGAACAGACTTTCTAGTAGGTTGAGAATGTAGTGTCAAATGTATTGATGAAAATAAAATATATTATCATGAAGATTGTTTTCCAAGAATTACATTTTTGCAAACTAAAGAAACTGAAGAAAATGGATGGAATGTTAACTATGATTGTACTAACAATTGGAGGTCTTTTGAGGTGCACAAAAGAACAGATGTGTGGTAGTTTCCATTCCTTGGAACTTCAGGAAGCATCTTTTGGATAATCTGAGATGTGGGTAGCCCTTTTTTGGACTGGGATGGCATGAGATCCACTTTGGAGCTGTCAAGCTAACCTGCATCCATCCAGATTTTTTTAAAAAAAGGAAATTCCTCTTGAGTGTAATGCCTTGTGAAGTCAGAGACACATTTATTTAATTATCTTGGGAGCTATGTCATATTGGTTTGCTACTGTCTTCTTCGATTTATTTATTTAGTTAAATTTTCCAGTCGCATTTATAGTTCTGGGATTTTCTGGAAGTCTTCAAGTACTAATCAGATCCAAATGTGCTTAGTTTTTCTAGATGAACCAAAGTTAAATAGATACGGCCACCTAAATGGTCCCATCCATATTAGTTATCTGCAGATAAGGTCTGTGTCATCTTTTATAATTGCCTTTAATTTTAATGGAGCTTATATGCATGATGCTCCCAGAAGATCATGTTACTTCATTTTTGAACTAGTGGCATCAATTTGTTTTAGAATTTAATTCTTCTTTATGTTAAACTGAAATATGAAACTACACGTTACACATTAGATTCCTCTGCCTGTGGGTTTGTATAATTCTTTCTCTGTTACTCATTTGCAGAAAGATGTTCCTGATGGGCTGAAGGACTTGTCTGAGGGCTCAGAAGAAAGCAGTGATATACAATCAGATTCCCCCACCTCAGAGAGCAGCAGTAGCAGTAGCAGTGACCAAAGTAGCAACAAGGAAGGAAGAAAAAGCAGGTGGCAAAGGAAAGGTAGATATTACTAAAAAAATCTCTTCCTTCACATCTCCATAACAAAGTATGTCCTTCCTCTCTATCGGTTTTTACTGCAAAATCTATGAAGATGTTTTATTAACTGCAGTTGTTCATGAATTTTTGAGGCTGGTTATGCAGCATAATAAACCCTAGTAGCTGAATCTGTAGATGGACATTGAAGCTTTTATGGATTGTCCTAGTATTGCTCTAGGCCACTATTTCTTAAACTTTTTCTCCCTTGAACCACTTCCCACTTTTAAAAATTATAGAAGCCACAAAAGAACTTCATTTGCATGGTTCGTATTTATTGATACTCACTATATTTAAAATTAGAATACATGCATTTGCTGCAAAAACTGCTTCTCACAATTATTTGATAGGACTTTAATACAGTATTGCATTATATTTTTTAAACATAGGCAGGGAATTTTGACTTTTCAAACCTCTGGGAGGGACTTGCCGGAACACCAAATATCCTAGGACCAGTTTTTAAGAAACGTTACTCTAGACCAGGAGTGTCAAACTCAATTTCACTGAGGGCTGCATCAGGGTTGTGTTTGACCTTGGGGGGCCAGGGTGGGCATGGCTAGCTTGAAGTTACTTGTGTCAGGGGTCCCTGTGGTGGCCAGAGTCCTCTGCCAGCGAAAACGGGCTCTCGTGTTCTGTTTTCAGCTGTGACGGCTTCCTGCAACCCTTTGCCAGCGAAAGTGGAGCTCGGGAGGGCTGCCTACAGCCATTCCGAGCTTCATTTTCTCTGGCAGAAGCACCGTTGGCTGGTCCTTTGCTGTTTCCAGGGTGGCCCCACGGGCCAGATCTAAGCACCCTGTGGACCAGATTCATGTCCGGCCCTTGAGTTTGACATCCCTGCTCTAGACAGAGCTTTGTAACGTTTCCCAGTCTGCTTCTTCTCTAAAATGCCAAAAGCTTATATGTTTTGAAAGCATCTTTTCACAAGTGGAAATGATACACATCGTCCTCAACTTACTGTGACAATTGAGAGCAGAATTTCCATCTCTTAACTAATGGGATTGTAAAGTACACTTGTATTGTTTAGCAACATCAGTCCCTGCAGTCCTGGTGGCCATCATTAATTTAACCCACAGTCATTAGTTGAAGCAACTACCAGTTGGCTTCTCACAATCAAAGTCAGCGGGAATTTGCAAGTACCATAGTGGCAGGCAATTGGTTGTTATCAGATGGCGGAGGGAGTGAGGGGTGGAGGGGAGTGTCAGGGAGGGTCATGAGGTGAGGGAGGGTCAACAGGAGTGTGAAGGTGTATGCCATCCAGAATCACTTGGTTGAGTTGAATGGCTATAGAAAATGAATGAATGAATGAATAAATAGATAGATAAATAAGAGAAGTAGCATACAGATTGGGGAGGCTGTACAAGGGTGCAAAGAGATGTATGCAAGGCCTGAGGTTCAGGAGGGATATAATGTATATGGGTACGAGGGGATGTGCAAGAGATTAGCGCAGGTTAGGAAGGATGTGAGGGGATGCGTGAAAGTCAGGGATGTGTGTGTGAGAAGTGCGTTATGGGTTTGAAAAGGTACACGTGTATGAGAGGTTGTACAAGAGGCACAAATCGGTGAAGGTGCACAGGTGAACAAAAGGCACAAATTAGGGAAGGTGTGCAAGGCTGTCTGGGTGCATCAGTGGTGCAGGGCTGGTCAGGGAGAGGGTGAAGGGGTGCACTAGAAGCAATAGGTTAGGAAGGGTACACGGGGCGGGGGGGGAGTGAGTAGCCACAGGTGGGGAGACTTACCCCAGTAACTTTTGACTTTCTGTAATGACCTTGAGGGATGAGGGGAAGAGATGCTCCTAGAAAATACTTGACAAGAGAGGGAGGAAACCCCAGTGGCTTAATTGTGAGAAGGAGAAATTTAGGAAAGACCCGCCCTAATTGATCAGGTTAAAAGTGGCCGTGGGAGATTTGAATCTGTAGACTTGCAAGATTCTTTTAATGTAGCCTTGCAATAAAAGTAGAATAAGCTCATCTAATGATGTTTCCTGTCTGGTTTACCTGGGAGGGCTGACATCAATCTTGCAAATCTCAAGATACAAACCACTACATAGATTCATTCTCTTCTGTTGGAAAATATGAGTTTACTAGAAAAGGTATTGTAAAAGGCAGTATGCAGACCAGACCTATAACAATTGAATGCAGTAATCTGGGGACTGGAGGCTATAAGTATAACATCTTTTGCAATAGCAAGGCAATAATGCAAAGCAAGGAGGTCTGTGTCATTCATTTGCCTTGGCTGTTTTCTGGATGGGAAGGGATTTGATTTTGATTTTTTAAAAATCTATTTTGGAATTTACATTACTCTTTGTGTATTTCTGTTCCAAAATAATAGGAAACAAAAACATCAGTTTTTAGCAGTTATGATCAGAAGTGGCTCTGGTAGTTCTTTTAAAGAATGGATCATTAAAAGGTAGTTAAAAAGCCTCAGGTGACTTACTTTTTTCCTAACTCAAGTGAGAGGCCAATTGATCCACATCAGAGTTTAAGCTTTCTTCATTCAGGAATTGTCCCCGTCTGTATCATTCCGACCTCTCTTTAAAATTAGAAAGAGGAATTCCCACCCATTGATCTCAGAGTAGGAACAACTGTAGTGAGGTTTGTTTGCTTATTTAACAAATTTACAGTATATAGCCTCCCATCTCACATTACAGAACATTGGACAGATATAGAGTTGGTCCAGATCTCAATGCATATTAGGCCTTTCTCAAATAAACCCCTCTCCTGCTGACATAACAGAATGTCACTTTATAGCATTTTTTAAAAAAAATCAACCTGCCTTTCAGGAAATATCAACAAACAAGATTGACTCTTTTGTGTCAGAACGATGATAAGCAAAGGGAGAATTAGAGGCGGACTGTATACCAAGAATACTGAATATTGTACATTGTCCTCTGTGGCATGTATGGCTCTAATGTGTTTTTACAGGCAGTCCTCAACTTACAACCACCGTTGAGACTGGAATTGCTGTCCTGTCGTAAATAGTTGTAGTTGTATGTCAAGTCAGACCCAATTTTACGATAATTTTTATTGTTAAGCAAATTATCATGTGTCTGAAGTGAATTGTAATCAGGTGGTCCTTAAGCAAATCCAGCTTCCCCCAATGGGCTTCTCCAACCATGGCAAGAAAGGTAGCATATTGCAATCTTGTGACCGCCAGATATTGCAACCAGTCATGAATGCAAACTGGTTGCCAAATGGCCCTGTTGTGATCACGTGACTCTGGGAGTGATGCAATTATCATAAGTGTGAGTACAGTTTGTGTCACTTTTTCCATTGCAATTTTGAACAAACAAGTCAAGGACTACCTGTATACCCTATAGATATATGCAGCACCACATACAAAGAGCAGCTGCAAAGGAACTATTTGGTCCCACAGTGGGTTCTGAATGCCAGTAGCTTTGCAAAAGCTTTGTCTCTTGTATGTATCTCTAAGTTGAGAAGTTAATCACAAAAACTAGAGGAAGGTTGCAATACAAGATAAATAATTATTGTCTAACTTAGTGACAAAATGTTAATACATATTCTCAATGCTCCTCCATCAAGATTATCTCAAAACAGGAGAAATATAAAGTAACATTTTGGGATAGATTATATACTTGGAGAAGCTGTGGGGGAGAGTTTTGGCAACACAGAACAACACAGAAGAGAGAGTCCTAGATTAAGAGACTATGGCGTCACAAGATGAATGGGGGATGGGGAGAACCTTGATGGTGAACCTATGGCATGCGTGGCACAAGAGGCACGCAGAGCCCTCCCTGTGGGCATGCCAGCCATTGCCTCAGCCCAGCTCCACCATGCATGCACACATGCCTCCCGCTGGCCAGCTTGTCTTTGGGTCTCTGCCTTGCATGCGCAGGGGGGCAGGGTGCATGCACGGGGGGGGGAGGGCTCTCGCATTGTATTTTGAGGCCTCGCACGGCACCTCTGTGCCCCGTTTGAGCCTGGAAAGCCTGCACCAACCTGGAAGCCAAAACGGTATGGGAGCGCCATGCGAGGCCCCACTGTGCCCGGTTTGAGTCTGCAAAGTCTTCTGCACCAACCTGGAAGCCATAAATGGGCGAGGGGGAGGAGTGCATGTGCAGGGGAATTACATGTGGGGGCAGGTTGCATGCGCGGGGGGGGGTTCAAATTGCTTTTGGGGGTGGACCGCTGCACGCCCCTTATTTGCACATACACACACATGCTTTGGGCACTTGGCACTAAAAAAATTATTCATCACTGTCCTAGAATCTCTCAAGATCTATCTAGGAGGTTGGAAAGTTATAGTTTAG